TATGCAAACGAAAAGGCACGCGCGCTGCGGCTCGCTGTCTTAAAAGGGTTTTTTTCTTTTTGTAAAGCCAGCCACGCCTCCTGCACCAGCACCTTTGCCGTGTAAGCCATGCCCACCCGCAGCTGTGCGTCTGGCCTTTGTTTGCCCGTTTTGTCATTGGAGTAAGTTCAAGGCGAGTTGCTGCTTCCGCTTGGCCTCTAATCGAGCTCCCAAAACGCCTTTAGCTGCTCAGTTTAATTTGGCATTAGAAATGCCCACTGGGCGGGCTCGAGGAGCTGGGCGCAGGGTATTGAAAAATACTTGGACATATATAAATGGCGTCCAAGTCAAAGTGAAAGTCCCCAGAGGTGTCTGCTTCATTCTCTCACTCTCTCTCACTCTCTCCTCTCTTCGTCTCTCTCAAATTTTATTTGTATCTTTGTTGTGCCTGGGCCCATTTGTCTGTTATGTTTTAAATAATAAATAAACTGTAAACATAAGTCACGCATACATAAAGCGCAAAAGTTGAGCCCTTGGCTTTAAGAGATTTATGTGCGCATTCTGAGAGTTGTTGTGGGGGGCCGCACAGCGGGCGAACGGGCATTGGGCTTTGAGTGGCTGCCTGCTGGTCGGAATTTAAAGCCAACATCGAATAGTTAGCGTCAAAATTTCTGTTAACAAAGCCACCGGAATGTTTATATGCGCGCTCATGGAATGCGCCATAAAGCGAAAGCGAAAACAGAAACCAGAGCTAAAGCCAGAGCCGGAGACTTCATTAGTGCATTGCACAGAATGTTAATTGAGGCAGCGGCCAGCCAACGAAATGCGTTTCGCAGAAGCCAAATGAATCCGCAAGATGAAACCCATCTATGCAGCCTGCTAATTGAACTAATAAACTGCACCTGTTCGTACCACGCCGCGCACTAATTAATAATTCACAGTTATTCCACACACATGCAGCTTCTTTCTGGAGCAACATCGAGCTCCACTACATTTTCTAAGCAGTATCTCCTATAGATTTTATGTCAGAGTCGTCTATATACAGATTTGGATTTGAGTGATGAGCTGCATTGATCTAGCCATGTCCGTTGGTCCGTGTGTCCGTCCTTCTGTGCGTCGTTCGTCCGCCTATCCGTCCGTCCTTGCATACATCCGTCTATTCTTCCGTCTATGCATGCATCTATACGTCCGTCCATCCATTCGCTTATCTGTCTATCCATCCATCCATTCATCTATCCATCCATCCGACTGTTCGTCCATTTATCTATTCATCCGTCCGTCTCACCCAATTTCCGTACTGTCATTATCGATAGTTTTACATTAAAGCAAAACTCTGCCCTCGTTCTTTCGGTTGCTTTCCCGACTGAGCATCGGAAAATTAATGCATAAACCGACTTCATTTATTATACTCGAAGTGCACGATTTTCCGTTAATTGACCATTAATGTGAATTAATTAGTTAATTGAAGTACGTGCAATTGTTATTTTATGATTTATTAATGTTTGCAAATGAAAACACATTTTTAATTTAAAATAAATTTTGCTTTAGGCAACGATCTGCCTTCGGGGTAGAGACTCGAACGAATTTTACAAATGAAAATCACTTAATGTGCTTAAGATTCTTGTCTTTAATGAGTGACAAGTGAATCGTCAGCTATTTCCGGGCATTGGAGGTGTATTATTTGGGGTAACTAACAAAGAGACACTCGCATTTTGCTCTGCATAGGAAATAGTCGTGGGTAGCCTGATCCGCTCACTGGGTGCGTGGCTAAGCTTGGAAGCTTCTTCTGCCAGATACTAGATTTTAGAGTTTTTTTTTTTAAAGCTACAAACTAAGTTTTAGAGCTAGAAAGTATATATACTAAATTCTTATAGTTATTCTATAATCTAGAAACTACATCTAAAAGTTTTTTATGGCTGAGAACTAAATCTGAAGTTCAAATATAAACTTGGTACAATAGATTAGAAAATCTATAGCTGAAAAATCTTAGACTTAAGGCTTGCCAATTATTTCAGGCAACATTGAGATTATTAATAAAATATTTTGATGGCCAAGAGTAAAAGAGAATCAGAAATCGAATCGTTTCAGTAGTTAAATAAAATATTCAACTATTAAAAGCAATTTATAAAATATTATTAATAAAATATTTTGATGGCCAAGAGTAAAAGAGAATCAGAAATCGAATCGTTTCAGTAGTTAAATAAAATATTCAACTATTAAAAGCAATTTATAAAATATTAAATTCAATAAAAATTAAAATGAAAAGCAATTTATAAAATATTAAATTCAATAAAAATGAAAATTGCATATGATTTTTTTAAATCTGGTTAGGGTATTCGAGTTTCGATTAGCCATGCTTAAACTGTCTCTAATTGCTTTATGACATTTTGTTTTCATATATTTATATTTTATTTTAAATTAAGCCTTTGCCATGGCTAGTGCAACAAAAAACCAGTGAGTGTGTGTGTGTGTGTGTGTGTTATATATTTAAATTTGTTATAAGCCATATGTCATTAATTTAAGCTGACAATAAGTGAGCCATTGGCAAAGTCAGCGCCGTCGGGCGGTTTTAATTTATTTATTTTATTGAAATATGAATTCGTCGCTCTGCTTATTATGGGTGCCAACATCAGATCTGAATTCCAGGGCGAACGTGCCGCTTTTATGGGCGCATATAAATAGCCGGGCAAATAAATGTGGGCAGCACGGCGTCGGCTGACAGGTGTTTAATTAAGTTTTTGTCAAATAGCCACACGTTGAGGCCACTGCAAAACGCGTTTCGTTTCAATTTTCACTTGATTTCAGTTCAAATTGAAAAGGCAAAAATTAAATTACAAATATATTTGCGTTTCATTGCGGAAAGGTTTCTGTTTCTCCTTTAATTATGCGTGCGCTGTGGTCACAGCATTGTCATAATTTGTAGCCTGCAATTAACTTGGCTAAGGCCTGGCATATGCCAGCCTCAAGCCCCCCTCGGCGTATCCATTCGCCGCCCGCTGCTCTGTCCGTGCTGCTGTCACGACTCGAGCGAAAACATTTAAATTTAATTATACGACTATGACAAACAATTTTGGCATTTTGACAACGCGCAAGTGGCAAGCTGTGGGCAGCGAGATGCTGACAACTGGCAACTGGCAACCGTCGAACTGGCGAATGACATTTGGAGCGCACACGGTGCGTATGCGCGACGTGTCCCGCAGCCAAAATAACAATTAACAAGAAGATGCGCATTTTACAAAACGAATTCCGTGCACGGGCCAAGGACCGTAGACCCGGATACGGACATAAACATGCTCATTAGCCGGCCTGGGCTCTCTGCCAGTCGGCAGAACGGAATGCAGGCTGCTCGACAATGTTGTTAATCAACAAGTTGTTGTTGTTGTTGTTGTTGTCGTTAAGCGATTTGGCGCGAAAACTGTTCAAGGGTTAAGCATGGCCACAGTCGCTTTAACTGCGCATCTTTTTCTCCTGCTTTTCTTGCTCACAATTTAATCAGCGTTACCTGCCTTAAGCGCTGCCTGCATTTCCAGGAAATGTAATCCATTTGCATTTAATGATACTGTTAACCATTTTCATATTGCATTCCCATGAAATGGCTCGCTGATGCAGCCAATTAGTGTTCGACGTTGCCTTGCAGTCAACGAAAATTCCTTGGCTTGTGCTGCATATTTCATAGCTCCGTCGAGTTACATACATTAAAAATGCATGCGATTCTTGAAATATGTATATATATATATATATATATATATAAATATATATAATATATATATATATGACTGTGAGTGTAATGCATATGCATCAAAAGTTATGAAGTCTCTGCTTGTTAAGCAAAATATGATTTCGCCTCCCTAGACCAGGTAATTTGAGACTGCCTGTTAAGGCTACCTGACAAAAGCTTCATTTAAAGTTTGTATCTTCAATCTATGCGTATTATAACGGAATCTGTTTAATAGGTAGGTAAACAGGCAGCTGCATCACGGCATTTGGCATTTTGCCGTTTCAAGGCTTTTGTAACTTATCTCTCTAGACACACACACACACATTCATTCACTCACAGTCTTCTTCTACCTGCTCAGGTACTCTCTTATGAATTATCTGACTTTAATCACATTTTTAATGGCAAGCTACTGAGGTCGACTGCTACTGATGAGATTTCCTTTCAATTTTGAGCAAGTTTAAAGAGCAAATTAAGTACTAACTGAATGATATCAAAAATTGATGATGCCCTTTTATGGCTATGTTGCTTCACGGCTTGTAGCTGTCTCCTGCACTCGATAGGACCTTAGATGTCTGCTATGAGATGGAAGGTATCATCAACAATCGAAGAAATTTTGTGTGCCTCAACAGATTGAAGGTCTTGTTTATTACAGCTATCTTTTAAAGCTGTTACGATCTTAGATGTCTTCTGTTAGACTTAGGGAATTTAATGTACTTAATAGGATCTTAGAACATATCTAAGTTTGCTGGGATCAGACTGCTATAGGGATGAAGGCATCATCTGATAGGATCTTAGGCCACTGCTATGAGGTCATTATCTACTTGTGATAGGATCTCAGATAACTTCCAAAAGACGTTGGTAATTGATAGGATCATAGAAGACTACATCTATAATTGATTGGTTCCTACAAATATTCTTTAAGTTTAAAGGCATCATCTACACTTGATAGGCTCTTAGGATAGGATCTCTGCCATGAGGCTAAAGACATCATCTGCAATTGACAGCAGCTCAGATGCCTTCTACAAGACTTCAGTTATCATAATTAATTGATAGGATCTTGGAAGACTTCTATAAGAGTATAGGCATCAGCTGCAACTGATAGGATCTTAGATGTCTTCTACAAGACTTCTCTGATTGATTCTCTAATTGGGCGTCTGCTAAGGTATTCTTCGATGATAAATGAAACTTTTTCTAAGACTTTAGATATTTTCCCTAACATATTGTCTAGGCAAATGTGATATGGAAATATTCCTAAAGACTTGCTCATCAATCTCTTAATTCCATTAACGCTGAGGGAACTTACCCAAAGAGATCCGCCTCGCTGCCTGGGAAGCTGATGCGTGGCGATAGGGGCGAGCGTCCGGCTCGCTTGAGCATATCGTGCAGGCCCGGCGGGGCATGTATGGGACTTAGTATGGTGATCTTGCGATTGGGTGGGGCCAGGAAGCCACCGCTCAGGGTTAGCTGTGTGCGCATGCCCGCCGATGAGGAGCTGCTCTTCATCTCGATAGTTTCGGCCGACTTGGATATGAGAATCGAGGAGGACTGCTGCAGTCCCAGCTTGGACATGGACATCTGTATGCCTGTCTCGGCATCGCCGCTGGCCGCCGTTGCATCATCGATCTGCGTGGAGGCGCTGCGTATGCATTTCTCTGGCCGTGCACCGCTCACGGGTGTTATGCTCGCCGCCGCCTCCGAGTGGGCCGAGGTGGAGCGCACAAACTGGCGCACGTGCTTCTGGTGAGCTGTGAGAAAGCCGTGCGCCTCCGGCTGTTGGAGGAAGCTTTGGAACTTGGACTTGCTGACGCCGGTGCTGGTGCTGGCGCCTTGTGTGGTCGAGCTGACATAGCGAGTGGTGCTGCTGCTGGTGCTGCTGCTGCTGCGCTGCTCGCTGGTAATTATCGAGGTGGATGACTGCGCCTTCAGCTGCTGAGCAAGCGCCGCTGCCGTGCTCAGCAAATGGCCGCTCTGCTCGCCCACAATGGCGCTCGACTGCAGGCTCTGGCTGCGCGTGCTGCTGGACATGATCTTCTGTTGGCTGTGCTGTGTCTGCATCTGCTGCACTTGCTGTATGCTGCCAGCGACGGTGGCCGTGGCCATGGCGGTAGCGGCGGCGGCGGTGGCGGCAGCAGCGCTGCTGCTGCTGCTGCTGGTCATGGAATAGGAACGTGTTGCCAACTTGCTGCTGGTGCTCGATGAGCTCGACGTTTGACTATATTTCTGCGTATGCATTAGCTTTGTCTGCTGCTGCTGCTGCTGCAGCAGCTGATGGTGCTCGCCCACGACAAAGACATTGTCATCGCTCGGCGAACTGAGCTCCAAATCTGTCACGGATCGCACCTCGTCGGCGTCCACCTCGCTTGGTGTCGTTATGATATACTGAGGTGGCGGCACTTGGCTGCTGCCAGGCGCCATGGCGCCCCCATTGTTGTCGGCGGCTTTGTTGTCGGACATTGCGTTGGGTTAGCGGTTTCCTTGCGGTTAGGTGGGTTTCCTCTGCGGCTATGGAACACAAAGGTTTGCTTTCATTTCATGCAATGCTCACGCCTCGTTGTTGTTTGCAACTGGAACTCAACTCAACTCAACTCAACTCAACGCAACTCACACTTTCAGAATTTTGGGCAACTTGTAGAACAAGCTAAGAACTTTTAGTTCTGCGATTTCATTTAGGTTAAGAATGTGGTTTTGATGTCTGTCAGTTATCGATATTTATCGGTTTTTGCAAGATAGCTGTTATAGCTTAATCCGATTTCCCCGAAACATTTGACGCATTTGTATCAACTTTGTCAAAAAAGACAGAACTTTTGATGTCTGTCAGTTATCGATATTTATCGATTTATGCAATAAATCTGTTATAGCTCAAACCAACCTGCCTAAAACTTTAAATGCATTTGTATCTACTTTGTCATCAAGACAGAACTTTTGATGTCTGTCAGTTATCGATATTTATCGATTTATGCAATAAATCTGTTATAGCTCAAACCAACCTGCTTAAAACTTTAAATGCATTTGTATCTACTTTGTCATCAAGACAGAACTTTTGATGTCTGTCAGTTATCGATATTTATCGATTTACGCAATAAATCTGTTATAGCTCAAACCAACCTGCCTAAAACTTTAAATGCATTTGTATCTACTTTGTCATCAAGACAGAACTTTTGATGTCTGTCAGTTATCGATATTTATCGATTTACGCAATAAATCTGTTATAGCTCAAACCAACCTGTCTGAAACTTTAAACGCATTTGTATCTGTTTTGTCATCAAGACAGAACTTTTGATGTCTGTCAGTTATCGATATTTATCGATTTACGCAATAAATCTGTTATAGCTCAAACTAACCTGTCTGAAACTTTAAACGCATTTGCATCTACTTTGTCAAAAAGACAGAACTCTTTATGTCTGTCAGCTATCGATATTTATCGATTTATGCAATATATTTGTTATAGCTTAATCCGATTTCCCCGAAACATTAGACGCATTTGTATCTGTTTTGTCATCAAGACAGAACTTTTGATGTCTGTCAGTTATCGATATTTATCGATTTAAGCAAAAAATCTGTTATAGCTCAAACCAACCTGTCTGAAACTTTAAACGCATTTGCATCTACTTTGTCATCTGTCCAAACTTATGGCCTTAAATATCGGAGTTTGGGTTGCATTTGCAAAATGTTCGCTTCAAGTGGAAACACTGTGAACTTTTGTGCTGCTGCGAACTGTTGTTACGGTGCCTTTTTTGCTATATGCCGGCTGCCACATGCCACATGCCGCATGCCGCATGCCATATGCCACATGCTCAGGCATCACAAAAGTTGCCTTCAGCCCCGTGAGCAACATGTAGTCAGACAACATTTGGCGAACGTTGTGCCAAAAAACTTCTGCATATTGCACAAGGCGCAACACCTTGCACCGCGCCTTGCTCCTCGCCTCGCCTCGCCTCGCCTCGCACACAGCCAGATGTTGGCCTTGGGCTCGGTTCGTGCCAACAACAACAACAACAAAAAACGTAAATAAATAATAAAAATAATAATTTCTTAGCTACGAACTGGCAGAAAGTTTGAGCACATTGCAACTGACTGTGCTGGGCATATTGGGCTCGGCTCGTAGCTGCGAATGAAGACTTGATAGATGACAAATAGAATCTTTAGCAGTTCGTTTTGTATACCCCATTCCAGAACTGCCTAAGTTGTTATATAGTTGGCCCACCAGCTACCCCCTCGCTGACAAATAAACTTAGAGCAGTCCGTGTATCTGCTAGTCGAGCACTCCCAATTATAATACTGTACTTTTTTTTTCTCTCTACTTCTTCTGGTTTTTCGTTATTTTTTCGGTTTTTTTTTTTAATCTTGGCTTTTGTGGCACTAACAAGCTGCATAATTAAGAGCACACTTTTGGGGCGCTGTGCACCGCAAGTATGCGGCGTGAACTGTGACCCTGGATCAGAGCGAATCACATTGCTAATTGATATGCATGCTGACTTAAGAGCTCTTAATGCCAGCTGTGCAGCACTGCCACGCTGCGTTACCTGGGCAATGCCCAGATATGTCGATGCAGCTACTCGGTAATGAGAATGAATGTATTCAGCTGGTCTTATCTGTTGATTGGAGACATCGAATGCGACGTTTCCTGTGCAAGATATACACACACAGTGAGAGAGGGAAAGAGAGATATATGCAAATGTCAGCTGCATCATTATGAGAAGAAATTCAATAGTCTTGCAACGCTGTCCATCAGTAATCACGGCAAATGAATAATATTACATAAGCATAACAGTAATAATCCAGGGCATATTGAATCGCATGCAGCTATTGAATGGTTGATGTCGTTGCAATTACGCCCATTCAAGGACGAAGTTGCAAGGATATGCTAACTCAAATGAATGCAACCTAACACTTTATATATATATATATATATGTTACATAACCTAACTCTATAAATATATATATATATATATATATATATATATATATATATATATGTTACATATGCATGACTTTTCTGGCTTAGAGCTTTCGGCTAAACGTTGAGCATATAATATACATAGCAAAAATATATTTAAAAAATTATCGATCTATCAATCAATCGATAGTTTCTGCAATAAATCTTCCAACTGTAACAGAATGTATGTTTATGCTTGTATTTGTATGCATGGAGCTCTGCGACTCTCAATGGCTAACGCTAACGCACTTGGCGCTTTTGGTATGGAGTAGCTGTTATCGATTGTCTTATCGATAGCACGCTCATCCGTCTGAAGTGATTTACGCTTTCGTTAGCTATTTCACTGACATTTTATGTGCTTACGTTACTTAAATGGCATTCACTGCACGAATCGTTAGGAATTCTGGAACTCCCTTGAGCGCCTTTGGGTCAATTATTCTTTCTTTAGCTTTTTGTGTAGCCAAAGCTGTCGCTGGGCATTCTTTAAGTTCTTTAAATTAATTCACGGCAACAGCAATGCCAATTGGCAGCTCACACAAAAACAAAAAAAAAAATAATTGTAAGGAAAGCACGACTTCTGTATACCTGCACCAAAATGTAAAGCAATTTTATTTTTTTAAATAGTTGACATATTTACAGCTTTGAGTCTGGCTACCTTTTAAGGCAACTTGATGTGTATAGAAATTAATCAATATGATATATTTTAAGGCCAAGTCCGGTTAGGTAGCTCTTGAAGGTGCTAGCTTCTGAGTAGCAGCCAGGGCTAGTAGAGCTTTGGGTTGGCCTTGCCAGTCTCTTTGGCTAGGAGCAGTTAGTTCATTGAGGTATTGTAAAACTATAGCAAATAGTTTCGTTTTTTTTTTTTAAAGCTGCTTTATGCCTTATATAGAGTACACAAATATTTATATCATATCAAGCAACCAATGCGAAATTCAATTATTGCTTCCCAGCTACAAACTCTGCCCCTTGCATATGCAATCAATGCGGACTAGATTGCATTTTCATGTGCTGCACCTACCTGAAATATTGTATTGGCAATTTAACTGCTCGAAACTTTGCCTTGGCAATGCGAAATTCAATTAATGCAGCACTTTCAATGAGAAGTTGAGCTCTCTATAATTGGGCTATTGATGGAATTGATATGAAATATTAGTGAGCTTCTAAGGCTGGCACAAATGGAAATAAGCTGCATGAACTCCAATGCAGGCTATGCACAACTAAGCTAATCGCGCGGAGTAAGCCCCACCAACGATATTTAGTGAGCCATCAAAATGATGCGACGGTTTTGAGCGGCATTGTTAAAATGTATCGATGGACTGAATTGGAGGAGCTGGCGAGGCAGCTGTATATTGATATGATATATTCATAAGGACGTCAAATACTGCCAGCGGGTGTTTGATGTTGGTGCCACAGCAGTCGGTTGCAATATGCCTCAGCGACTCGGCTAAGCCAGCAACAGCAAGAACAAAGCCGCCATTGTTAGCAAAGGTGTTTCTCGCTCGCTCGCTCTTCCTCTTTCTCTCTTTCTCTCTCTTGCCCCTTCTGTGTTCGTGCTGTCAACATCATTAGCCCATATATCAAGTTGACTTTCAGCGAAATGAGCCCGAACGCCAGCATTCCCAAAGGGTGTTTAACCTCATTTATAAGTATTTGACATGAAACTTTTCAAATTGCCAAACATGAACAAAATATTTGGAAAACAAATCTGCACCAGCTCGCTCTGGGCAAACTGTTTGCCCTACGCATCACGCGCAGACATCTAATTCGATTATGAACAAATTATAAATAAAAAAAAGAGGAAGAAAGAGCAAAACATTGCGAATTATTGATGTGAATGCACAGGCTTATTAAAATCTAATTGGCTCAGGCAAAATGGTTGAATGCGTTTGCCATACGAAACAGTAGCAAGTTTTTAAAATATATGTTTTCATATATATGCATACACAACATTAGCTGGCGTCCATAAATAGGCAAGCATTTACACAGGCCAACACAGATATGAATCGGACTTAGAAACTGAAATTTTGACATCAAGAATATTTTGTAAATATTTTTTAAATATTTTTTTTAAATTTTTTTTTTAATTTTTTTTTACTTTTAGATTGAATACCTATGCGAGGTATGTTCAAACAGTTTAGTTAATTTTGTGGCTCTTTGAATTAAGCATGTTTAGGCCAGCTACTGATGTCTTCAAGTGCGGCAGAGCATTGAGGCCTCTAAGACCATTTCCAGAGTCAATAGGAGCAAGGGATATTTAAGGATTTATTTGTGCGCTATGCTTTAAAATATGATATATTGTAGCTCAAGTAATTTATATTCATATATTATTTATATTATATTATGATTGTGGCCTTATGTTGGTGCTCATTTGCCTGACTTGTGCTGAGCAGTTCAGCCTTTAGGAAAGCTCTGCTAAGTTTTGAGAATTTGTTTACTTGAATGTGTTTTGGCTGGCCTCAGAGCTGAAGCAAAAGAAACTATATCAGAACAAGCCTCTAAACATATCTCAGCCTGCGATGCGACAGACCCCAGGCCGCCTGGGACACTGGCTTCCTGCACGAAGAGG